CTTGTAATTGAAAATGAAAGTGAAAAAAAAATTAATCTAAAAAGAAACATTAAAAAAAAGAAAAACAGGAAAGAGAGGATGAATAAAAAAGAGTGTTCCCTAGGGTCTTGTAGAATAGCATTAGAAATACTCGAGCTCCAAATGAGCTGAGGCTGGAGCAGAATGCTAAGGACAATAAGCAAGCTGGTTTGACTGTCGGGGGCCAAAGGAAGATTCCAGAGAATCTGACAACTACTTGGTCTGGATTTTTCTCCAGCCTTAGCTCATTCTGAGTTTCAACACTTCTAACACTATTCTTACAAGACTCTGATCACTCTTTTAAAAAAATTGTCTTCTTTTTCCTTTTTCTTTTTTTTAATGTGTTTCTTTATAGACCAAACTTCCTTTTCATTTTTAATTAACAACAGATGATGGAGAGAAAACAGAACTCCTTAATTTCTTTCATTTTCTTTTTTCTTCTCACTCCTGGCTTTATAAAGTTGGGTTCTTGTGAATCTAGGGATGGCTGCATGTTCAAGTATAACACACTCTGGTCCTTATTTACCTCTCCCATTTATTACTTCAGTTGGCTTAAAACTTGGTAGATGCAAGTGCTATGGAGGGATGGCCCATTGTTTTCTCTATCACTTACATCACAGGGACTGTCCCCTGTACTGATCACTGATCACTTATTGAATCTACCACACGGCATCCAGGCCAACACTATACCCTCAAATGCTTGTTACTCATAAAACAATTATGGATAGCAAGTAAACATTTATCTAAGTAAGCTGTAAAATTTCCAAGTGAAAGGAATTATACATACTAGTTTAGACAACAGAATACTCAAGGGTAAATGGGCAGTTCAACTTAGGAGCAACATGAAATCTCAACTCAACTGGGGAAAGAACATTCTTATCCAAGAAGTCCACTCTTACCAGTCTTGGGGGTGGGGAGCATACAGCAGCTGGACATCAGGGGACACTGGGGCCAGCTTTCCCTACATGCCTGCAGCTCTGTTGGAGATACGCCATTTGCTATTCCAAAGTTCAAGACTTTTCTTTTCCTTTACAGTCTTTTGGCTAAACTGAAAGCCCCTCCTATGTGCTATATGCAGTGCCATAGGTTCAGGTGCCTCTCAGTTAATCTAAAGTCATATCTCCCTTCACACATGCAAGTCTTTGGGGACCCAGGCACGCTTCAGGGTGTAGGGTGCTATGCTTAATTTCTTTTTTTTTTCATCTTATTGCTGCAGCTAGGCATTGGGTTGACACACATACATTGCCAGAGCTAGCTCAGTGTTTGGGAGGCTCCAAAGGAAAGCGTGGGAGAGAAGAGGTATTAGACTGACTACCAAACTGAACGTCTATAGAGCTGTTGTGCTGAACTCATTGTTGTATGCCTGAGAAACCTGGAGAGTATACCAGTGCCATGCCAGGAAACGGAATCACTTCCATTTGAATTGTCTTAGGAAGATTCTGAAGATCACCTGGCAGGATAAGATACCAGATACTGAGGTCCTTTCTTGAACTAAACTGCCAAGCATCCAAACTCTACTGCAGAGAGTGCAACTCCAATGGGTTGGCTATGTTGCTCAAATGCCAAATGTACACTTGCCAAAAAGACTTTTATGAAGAACTCACACAGGGTAAACACTCACATGGTGGTTAGAAAAAGTGATACAAGGCCATTCTCCAGGTCTCCCTTAAGAACTTTGGAATTTATTATGTGACATGGGAGATACTAGCACAGGACCACTCAGCATGGCGTGCCCTTATCGGAGAAGGTTCTGTGTTTTATGAGCAAAGAAGAATTGCAGGGGCAGCTAGGTGGTGCAGAGGATAGAGTGCCTGCCCTGGATTCTGGAGGACCTGAGTTCAAATCCGACCTCAGATACGTAACACTTACTAGCTGTGCAACCCTGGGCAAGTCACTTAACCCCATTGCCTAGTTAAACAAAAAACAAAACAAACAAAAAAAAAAACAGAAAAAAAAAGAATTGCAGTAGCGCAAAAGAAACTCTAGATGCACAAATTTAGAGAATCCACCCCAAATGTTCACATGGACTATTTGTGCCCGACCTGTCATTCAGAGCTCCTATTGGTCTAATTAGCCACTGTCAGACACACTGTAACTTGATTCTAGTATGGTGATGTCATTTTGGTCCTCTTTGAGAACGAAGGACAACAACCAACCAGCATTTCTAGAACTACATAAAATAATATTGATAATGAAAAGTCTGGTTTTATTCTCTTCTTTCCCCTATTCCCTTGAAAGGATTCTAATTTATTTGTGTCATATATAATACTGGCTCCTGGCTTTGGATAGATACTATTTACCACATTAAAGGAAGTTCTATTTATTCCTAAGGCTTTTTAGTGTTCTTTTTTTTTTTTAACAGAAATGAGTACTGAAATTTTCAAAAGCTTTTAAAACATATGATATAACCACATGGTTTTTGTTATTAATATGGACTATTATGCTTATAGTTTTCTTTATCTTTAACCAATCCGGCATTCCTGGTATAAATCCAACCTGTTGACAGCAAATAATTTAAAATTATGTTGCTGGAGACTATTTGCTAATCTTTTATTTACATTTTTCATGTCAATATTCACTAGAGATATTGGTTTATACCTTTCTTTCTTGGCTCTGTCTCTTCATGGTTTTGGTAACCAAGAACACATTTGTATCATAGAAGGAATTTACTAGTATCTCCTTTTCCTATTTTCAAAAATAGTTTATATAATATTGGAATCAATTGTGTTTTGGATGATTCATAGAATGAACTTGTAAATCTATCTTGTGCCATTTGTTTTCTTGTGAAGTTTGTTTCTAGTTCATTTAATTTCTTTTCCTGAAGTTGTTATTGGATCCTCTGTTTCTCATTCTATAAATCTGGATATTTTGTTTTTAAGAACAGTCATAAAAATACTCAAAATCTTATAAAAGTGAATGTTGAAAAATATCTTTACATGTAATTATAAAAAAATACTATTAAGTCAGGGGGAGAAATCAGCAAACACTTAAAAGGCTGGAAAAAAAAGGAATAGTTATAGATTTCATCTAAACTATCAGTTTTGTAAGTGAGCCAAATAGTTTCTAATTTCCTTGATTGCATTTTCAATTATAGTGAATTCTCCTTTTTCTTTTTGCTACTGGCAATTTGATTTTTCTCCCTGGAACCATACTGAGGTTCCCTTACTCCACCTCTGCCCCATTCCCTCTTTAGGCTATTACAAACTCATATTAGGACAGCATTTTAATTTGAAATACCTGCCCTAATTTGAAGGAGACACCCTTATTAATCTTTCTTTAACATAAAAGTCAAAGCAATACCTTGAATTGAAAAGTCTTTTTACTCCATTATTATTGAAGGTCTAACCAGTTTCTAAAAGCAAAGGCCTGACTAGTCTGGGAAGTATTCTTCCCTGGGATGATTAGGCTATTTAGTAACATAAAGGAAGAATGACCATCTCCTTTGACACCAGAATTCCACTGCTAGGTCTATATACCCCAAGGAGATAACTGATAAGGAAAAAGGCTCTACATACACCAAAACTTTTTATGATAGTAAGGAGCTCAAAACAAAATAAATGTCCATCAGTTGGGAATAACTAAACAAATTGAGAGAGATGAATGCAATAGAATATTATTGCTGTTCTGTAATTTTTCATTTGTGTCTGATTCCTCATGATCTCATTTGGGTTTTTTTTTTTCCAGTGAGACAATCGGGGCTAAGTGACTTGCCCAGGGTCACACAGCTAGTAAGTATCTGAAGCCAGATTTCAACTCAGGAAGACAAGTCTTCCTGACTCCAGGCCTGGAGCTCTATCCACTGTGCCACCTACATGCCCAAGACATGACTGAAAAATGACTGAACAACAAAAATTTTATGAACAAGTTGAATAAGATTGTATAAATTGTGCATATTCTTAAAAATGAGTATAAAAAATAAAAGTTTTCTAGGCCATATACCATTTCCCAATGACTTACTATTTCAGAGATACTCTGTCTTCATCTAATTTTGAGCACTCATCAGTGGCCTTTTACCATGGAGTGTTTTTTCCCACCTTACTCTGGGATTTCATCTGTGGGGCTAATTCCCAGTATGAAAACTCCTTCCACAAATGAGACCTGTTGGCAGTTTTTCTTATTAAAGAGTTGCCTGGCACGCTGCTGGGGTAAATGATTTGCACAGCCATACGTCCCAGCATATGTCCTAGGCAAGACTTTCTGAGCCTAGGTCTTTGTGACTCCAAGGCCAATGGACTACATGAGGTCGCCTTAGTCATATCGTTAATGAGCTGCTGATCATTTACTCACACAGCTTTTCCCTTCGTGGTATTTTTTATCTTGGGTCTGTCACCACCAGCTAGCTGACTTCTGATTCCCCAGGACTACTCCCACACCACTGATTTCCAGCTCACTGCTTATAGTCCCCTCTCCACCTTGTTACCACATCATCTACTGTCTTCTTAGACCTATTTCCATTTCCACTGATGATTTGAGCAGCTGGTTTAGGTTTGTCCTCTCCACCCTATCTTTGGTAATGTCAGTATTGCTGTATATGTTCCTTAGGGGCAAGGACCATGATAAAAAAGGGGAAAAGAGGTATCCCCTATAACAACCAGCCCAGCTGCTTGCACAGAGTGGCCTGCACACAGCTCTATAAATGTGGCTTCCATGACAGCTGAGTAGAGCCCTGAATCCTAGCAGAGGGCAATCTGTTGCCCTCAATTTAAGCCTGCATGGACCATACCAATATGGCTTCTTTAGCTCCCCTAGGACTCTAGGGAAAGGTGAGGACAGAAGACTTCTGACCTGATGTGCTCTGCTCCTGAATAGACATTCAGAAATCTAGCATCTTCAGGTCACTGACACCCTAATGTTGAGATCGCAGATCTGTATTACCAGGTCTCAAACTTGTCAGCTTCATAGCATCCACTGTGAGGAATTTTATGTTGAGACAATAGAATTTCAATTAAACGCAATGAAATGACTTTCTTTTATTGGTTGGATTTTATTTCTTTCTCTTTTTCTTTTTTTTTTCTTGGAGACTCTAAAGAATCGGCGCTGATTAGTCAATAGGAAACAGAACATCAAATATACAAATACAACACTGTTAGAAATAATTTGGTATTAGTATTACAGATCTCATGGAGTCTTCCAGTAACATGATTAGCTTTGTGACTCTGCCAGTCATGGAATGCATTTCGAAAACACATTTCTTCACCACCAGGGGGGAAAGATCACCCTCTAAATCTAAATCACAATCTCCCAAATCAAGACAGAAATCCATAATGTGATATTAAAGTTGCATAGTTGACCACTTGAATTTTCATCATTTATATTTTAAAGTTGTTGCATCTGGTTTGCTGAAGTAAAATCTCCTGTTTTTAAATCTACTTTAAAGAAAGGATTACACGTTCTAACTCTTCCTGTGCCTGATGATCCTAAAAAAAAAATACAAACACATCATGAGATTTAACATATTTCTCTTAAGATATGTTTTTCTTTCTTTCCCTAGAAACAGTTTTTCACTTTTTCCTCTTACGGATGGAGGGAAGGGGATAGATTTCTTAGTAGTAATTATTACAAAGAGCATATATAATAAGGTTGGATATGATTCATGATTCTATGAAAATATGGATAAGCTCAAGAAGTGTTGCAGAATGCTTCTTCCACGTAGGAGACAAACTGGAGGGGTCAAGGAAGCAGGAAAAGGGGTCTGGGAGAGAGTTGTCTTTCTTGGAAGCTTGACATGTTGGGATTTTCCCAACACAGGGCCATAGACACTTTTTATGTTGAGGGATATAGATATAACAAAATAGTTAAGCATTTATATGTCACAGAGGTCTGGAAAGCACTTTTACATGTATTATCTCATTTGATTGGATAAACTCAAGATAAACTCAAGATGAGGGATCTTGCCTAAATACATCATCTTTAGGAATAACAATCACACAATTTCTATCATTCCAAGGCAGTACTGACAGAGTGAGTAGCCTTACACTCTGTCTAAGAACCAATTGCCTCAGTTAAAATGTACTCTTGAAGTCTTAGGTCATACACAGAGCCATGGAGGCTAGGGGGACATTGGGCCTTACAGACCACTCATCCAGCCCTCTCATTTTACAGATGACGAGAGTCTCTATCTTCCCCAAGGCCACAGAGCAAACATGCAGCAGAGTTAGGAGGAGACCCCAGGGGTCCTACTCTTTCCACCACAACAAAATACTTCAAGAATCAATCCCATTGGGAATGTCAGCCTCCTCCTCTGTAAAATGAGGGACTGCATTTCTCAAGAGTTCATGTTCCAGCCCTAAGATTCTATGATCATGGACTTATATCTTTTTTATACCTTATAGAGTTAGTCTTCCTAGCATCAACAGTTAGAATATATTCATTAACTACTTCTTTAAAGAATATTAATGCCAACAAATGGTGACCTTTGCTTATATGTGTATAAAGATATATTCTCTTGGAAAATGGCAGTCAACTGAAATTCTTCACAAATGAGAGATTTAGTAGGAATTATTACTAATAGGACCCTGAAATAATGATTTATCCAGAACTGTTACATGTGCCATATGTATATTTAAAATGGTCTATTAATGAATCAATACTTTTATTTTACTTTAATTATTTTTAATGGCTGAGAAAAATAAAATTATCTCTTTATTGAAATTAAATATGAGAAAAATATCAGGCTATTACAGTATTAAGAAAAAGTCAAGATAATAATTGATTTACTAAGCAATGTCTTTTTTGTACTTGGACTCTGATATCAGTACCATGTGAATAGTTTTGACAAATAATTACTTAGAGATTTCAGGTGTCCTTAGACAGTCTCAATACTGTTCCCAAGATTAAATAATAGGAAGAAATGGCACATAAAAATGACTTCCAAGATGCCTATAGTTTAAAAAAAAATCTCCCTATTATTATGGAAAAATAAGGCCATCATTATGATAATTAACGTACATTACATTAATATAATAGAGTCAGTCAACAAGAATTTATTAAGAATTTTCCATATGCCAGACTCTCTGTTAAATGCTGGGGGTGTAAAGAAAGGCAAAAACATGGTCCCTGCCCTTAAGAACATTACAGTCCAATGGACTGTACAGTCCAGCGTGCATATGAATAGGTATACACAAGATACACAGAGAGTAAATGAAAGGCAATCCGGAGAAGGGAGGGCTTTATCACTGGTGGGGAGGGAGGGTGGGGAATCTCAGAAAAGAATTCCTGCAGAAGGTAGGATTTGAGTTGAGTCTTAAAGGAAGCCGGGGAAACTGAGGCAGAGGTGAGTAGGCTGAGCATACAAATGCTTGGCGAGGAGAGATGGAGGACTGAGATCGAGCAACTTCAGGCAGGCCAATGTTGCTGGATCACAGAACATTTGGTGGGAAGTAAAGTGTAAGTAGATCAATAACAACAACTTAAATTGATAGCAGATGGCTCTTTTAAATACATTAACTTAGGTTAGTTCACTACAATTTAATCCATCAAAGGTTTATTAAGTGCCTGGGGTATATAAAATAGTACTAGGAATAAAAAGATACTAAAAAGACAGTGCTAGTTCTCCAAACGTTATAACTAGTGGTGGAGGTGGTGTGGACGAGATGGGCTGGGGATGACAGACATACACGAATGAGGATGCAACTTGCTGTTATATTGTTGGCAGCAGCTAGGTTGATGGGCACAGTTGATAGAACACTAGGCAGAGTCTGGAAGACCTGAGTTCAAATGCAGCCTCAGACACTTATCAGCTGTATGACTTTGTTTGCCTTAGTTTCCTCATCTGTAAAATGATCCAGAGAAGTGGTAAACCACTCCAGTATCTTTGCAAAAAAGTCCCAAATGGGGTCACAAAGAGTAGAACATGACTGAATAACAGTAACAACAACAACTGCATCGAGCGTTATGAGGAATCTGGGGGTGAGGGAGGGGGGAGAAAGCCTGTGGAGTTGGAGGTTTCAGATAAGGCTTCATGAAGAAAGCCTCTTCCCCACCTCCCAGAGCTGGGTCTTGAAGAAAGAGAACTCTTTCACAAGATGGAGACTCAGGAGATGGAGACCCACGAGTATTGGCCTGCACGGACCTGCACACGAATGGTGAGACTGTGGGGGAGCTCATTTCCATTTGGCTGGAATGTGGTCTATCAAGAGGAACAGTGTGAAACAAAGCTGGAAGGCAGATCGGACACAGAGTCTGAAGGGCTCCCTCAGGGCAACAGGAACCCCTGAAGGGTCTGCAGTGTCTTGTGCCCAGGACCACGATTCTGGCAGCTGTGTGGGGGACAGGAGAGGGGAGACTCTGAAGATCAGTTAGGAGGCCACTCTAATGGAGAGAGCCTGATAAGCAGAGATAAAGGAAAGCTGTAGCTTGAACGTACTTGTGTGTGCACATGTTGTCAGGCTCCCTTCCCGCTGACAGAGGTAAGCTCCCTGAAGGCAGGCTTCATCTCTTTTTTGTTTTTGTCTCCCCAGATCCTGGCACACTGCCCGGCACTGACTACCTGCTTGTTGGATTGAGCTGAATTAACTCAAGAAAGATTGTGGAGGTGGAAGTGACAAGACTTGAAAAATCACTGAATGAAGAGGGGGACAGAAGAGAGAGAGTATGTGGAAGTAAAGCCAAAGTGGACATTCTCCACTTATTGTGGATCCTGTGCCTTCCTTGGTTTCTTTCTAATATTCTGCATTTAGTGTCCCATGATGATTTTCTCTTCTCCTTTTCCAATGACAAGTATTACTATGGTGGTTTTTTAAAGTACTGTTTTTATTTGTTTAGGAAATATTCCACCGAGAAACATAATTTATTTCATTTTTTTCATACGTGAGCTTTTTTCTCCATAACAATGAGTTTTAATGCTTCTGCTGAGGCTAACAAAACAGTCATTATTTATTTAGCGAGCATCCTCACACAGCTTTAGACAGAAGAATCTTATTTGTTTTAAGAGAAGAACGTTTCCCAGGGCCTCAGGTTATCCACTTGGGGCCAGTATGAGGCCACATGACCTGTACACAGGCTGCTATTTCAGAGCAGGAAATCTAAGCCTCTGAAAGCTAGAGCACTGGATCCCCTGGGCCCCAAGTCTAAAAGAGAGGAAGGAGCTCACAGCATGCAGATACTAGAAACTCGATTTCTGTCCTGGAAGGTTTAATGTGTTGGTGAATCTTCTGCATTGTTAGCAACTTTATAAGTGTCAGCACTGAAGAAAAAGCAGTTTTTAACCTTTAGGCTTATCCCTTTTTCCTTTGCCTGATATTTATGTTTTTTTCTCACAATTCCCTTCCCTCCTTTACCATATTATAAACTCCTTGAGGACAGAGAGTGAATCATATTAATTTTTGAAATCCCCTCCCCTGTGCTTGTTGAATTGAACTTGTTTAGAAGGAGTCTCCACAGCAAGGGATCTGAACGAACCCTCCGCTTAGGATCATACGGATTTAGAACTGCAAGGGTCCTTAGAGGCCATTCAGTCCACCTCCCCATCTCCCCGTTTTATAGATGAGGAAACTGAGGCCTAGGGAGGTGATGGGATTGGCCCAACATCACACACGTACTGAGTGGCAGAGCCAACCTTCAAACTCAAGACCTCTGATACTAATTCCAGCCCTCTCTCCTCCGCTTCCCCTCTCCTCATTTCAACCTAGTTTTGCCTTGTTTTTCACTGAATCAAAGAATCAAAGCGTTTTAGAGGTAGAAAGTAACCTAAAGCCCAGCTAGCCCACTTCACACCCACAAAAGAATCCCCTTCCATAAGACATCTGTTCTATGGCCCTCCAGCATGTGCTTGAAAACCTCCAGTGAGGAATGAACCCACCACTCCTGGCAGCAGCCCACTTCACTTTGGGACAGCTTTAATTGTAAGGAAGGTCTGTCCCTACTTCAAGGCTAAAGTTCCTGCTCTGCACCTTCTACCCACTGCTTTACAAGCCATTTGAAAGGCAAATACATGGGGCCTTCTCCCTCTAAATTTTCTACCAGATCGATCCATTTCTAGGAAGAATGCAGCAATGAGAGGCAGGCAGAGAAGAACTGCTAATGGCGCTGCTGCCTGCTAGATACTTTTAATTGGTTAGCCAGAACTTCTATTTTTCTTAAACTTGGCTTATGACTAATAGTATCCATTGGTATTCACACAGAACTTTTATTTTTGCTGCATATTATCAATGTTTAGATATTTATTTTATGTTCTATTGTTATGATACTGGAAAGAGTATAAAAGTTGATCCTAAAGGAAAACAGGAAAAAACCATAAGCATCTGAATTATGAAATATGATTTAATGCCTTGTTTTAACCATGTCAGTTAGGGTAAAAAACTTTTCTCATATGTTCTGAAATTCTATTAGTGAGAATTTATAAAGCAATTCATATGATTCATATATAATAATCACAAAACATAAGAACTGAGAGGGGCTCAAGAGATTCAGTAGTCCAAACCCCTTATTTTACAAATATGAAAACCAGGTTAAATGAATTGTCCAAGGTCACACAGCTAGATATGCTGAAACCCAGACTAACTCTTGTCTCCTCATCCAATACTCCTTCTGCCACACTATATTGCACCTAATCATTAGAAGATTCAGAAGCTCCATCTTATAACATAACATAAAAAGACAGACCACTTTAGCATATGCTGGTGGCTTAATCACTAACCAACAGAGTAGCAGATGAAGGGAGGGCACAACACCTCTTTTCTCTTCTTGAGGGCAGGAGACACTTTCTGTCCCACAGCCAGAGTAATGTTAATCCAGAGCAGCTGTCTTATACTGCATGTATCTGGCCAAGGGAGCCAATGGAGAAACTATGGGTGGCCTAGGATATGGCTCTTTTTATTGCTTAAGTTAGAAAAAACAAGCTGAGGGCTTGGCTTCCTGCAGTGGAAGTGCACAAAAGAACTTGGCAGCTGAGGATTCTGGTCACTTGGTTGCTAAAAAGGCAGCTGTGTTGTAGGGACTTAAACAGCATTAGCCACAAGGTTAACAATGCATTTCATCCTGTTTGGTAAAAACCATTTCCACTAAAGCCTTCCTCTTCTGATGCCTCATTGTAGCATGGAACTGGACTCTGGCTTTTCAAGATTGTGCCAGTGTAGCATAAGAGTAGAGGCTGGCAGATGGAATATCATCTAAATGCCCGCCCACTTAAGTGCAGAGAGGTTTATCACTGGAGTGCTGGACCTGAGGGCAAGAAGACCTTGGTTCAAATCCAACATCTGACACTCACGAGCTGTCACCCCGGGCAAGTCATTTAACTGCTGCCTGCCTCAGTTTCCTCATCTGTAAAATGGGGATAATAGCACCCACCTTACAGGATAAATGAGATATGTGTAAAGCATCTAGCACAGTGCCTGGTACACAGTGGATGTTATAATAAATGCTTTTCTCCCTTCCCTCCTTTCTTTTTCTCTTTGTTTGTTTCTTCCTTCCTTTATCTTAAATCCATCCTTAAATCTTACCTTGAATCATCTTAAATCATACCTTCAATCTGTCCCTTCTCCAATCTGTCTTCACACAGACATCAAAGACATCACAGATGCCACTTTGCTAAAGTGCAGGTCTGATCACATTAACTCCCTATTCAATAATCTTCAGTGGCTCCTCCTTACTTCCAGAAACAAGTACAATTCCTCTCCTTGTCATTTAAAGCTCTTTACAAATTAGCCCCTTCCTATCTTTGCAGTTTTCTTATATAGTGCTCCCCTCTACAGACCTGATGGTCCCACTAGACTGGCCCATCTTGTATTCATTACACATGACATCATTCCTCTCCATGTCTTTGCATTGGTTCTTCTCTATTCCTGGAATGCTCTCCCACCTAACCTTGAATTCTTAAGAGTCTCTGGTCTCCTTTAAGATTCATCTTAGATGCCACCTTCAGTAGGAGGCCTTTCCTGGTCTCCCCCTGCCCCTAGCTGTTACTGTCTTCCCTTTTAATATATTCTTTCCTTCAGTATATTCTTTATGTTTCTTGTATATGCTTATTCAAGTATATATTGAAGGAGAACATCAGCCATGCAGGAATGAGAAAGACACTTGATGCGTGCAATCTGTATAGAATCAAAACCATGCTGATTAGAATCAGACTCCCAGATAAGGGGGAGTTCTTAAACAGGACTTCTCCTCACACAAGTAAATATTAGGCAATAGCTTGGTAATCTGAAGTAGAACTGAGACGAGAGCATTCCACAATTCTGCTACCACCAGTAGAGCTGCTGGGGTTTACTGCTATTCATTCCCTATGGTTAGCAACACTCACCACTTCTTCCTTTTCAGTCCCAGTAATACTAAATTCTCAATGCCCTAAGACTGAACCACTCCTCTCTGTAGCCCTCATTTCTTGTACTCTTATCATCACCTACTTTAACCCGGTGGATTTCACGCACCATTCCAGGTCTTGTGCCTTTCGAATTCCCATTCCATCATCAATACATTTCCCTTCATTTTTTACTTCTAATGTTTCTTCCATCTTCCTCTCTCTATCTCTAATATTCAAATCTCTCCCTCCCTCTCTCTCTCTCTCTCTTCTCCAGTTCTTCATCTTAAAAACAGACAAACCTCACTTGATCCTACCATCTACCCTTACCCTATCTTACTCTACGGCTCTCCTCTCTTTCATAGGCAAACCCTTACAAAAAGCTGTCTACATTTGTCACCTCCATTTCTTCTTTTCTCAGTCCCTTCTTAGATCTCTGCAGTCCAGCTTCTGACCTTGTCACTAAACTGAAATGGCTCTTACAAAGTTGCCAATGATCTCCTACTTGCCAGATCTTCAGCCTTGACCTCTCTGGAGCATTGTTGACACCGCTGACTGCTTCTCCTCCTACACACTGGCTCCTAGAAGACTTCATGATATTTTGCTCTCAAGGTTTTCTTCTCACCTGTCTCACTGCTCCTTCTCACTCTTATTTGCAAATTTATCAGCTTCCCCTATGTGTGCATACACTCCAAAACTCTATTCTGGGACCTTACTCCTCTCTACACCCCTGTCCCTGATTTCTCATCAGCTCCCAAGAGTTTAATTATCATTCTCTATGCAGATGATTCTCTTTACTCTCCAGGCAACCATAACAGTTTTCCCCTTCAGACTAAGAGCACTGTTAAACCCTCCATTTGCACCTGCATAGTAGAGTTTGCCTTGTGTTACCATTATTTGAAGTGACAAAAAGTTCTCATTTGTAGTCACAAGTCCTATACTGGACCTTAGCTCTGCTATTTAATACCTGTGTGACCTTGATCACCATTTTTAAAAGCAAAAGGATCATTTGTGATCTTTGCATTTTCATTTCTTTTGGAATGTTCTCCTTTTTCACACATCTTCTGAATCCAACCCTCAGTCCCTTTAAAATTGTGTTGCTCCTAGCAAGGCATTTTCTTGTATGTATTTAGTCCAGGCCACGTTTTCTTGCCAAGTCATCCTTTTAAGTATTGTTGCCACATTCTCACAAAGTATTTTTGGTAGTAGTATTAATAGCAAAGGTTAACATTTATGTTAACACTTCAAGCTTTTCAAAACGTTTTGTGTATATTACCTCATTCAGCTTTTACAACAACCCTGAGAGGTGGGTGCTATTATTATTCCCATTTTGCATATAAAGAACTGAGGCAGACAGAGGTTAAGCGACTTGCCCAGGGACACATATCTAGTAAGTGTCTGGGGATGGATTTGAACTCAGGTCTTCCTGACTTCAGGCCCAGTGCTTTGTCCTCTGTGCCAACTAGCTGCCTTCTATGGTAATCAAGTCTAAATACACTAGTTCCATTATAACTACTGATGAGAATATATATTATTGTCCTATTTTAACCTAAAAATATTCTAGGGATGATCTGACTTAGCTGGATTTTACACTAAATTCTCTGTGGCTCATTTTCTCTTTAAGCTGCTTTTCACTATTTTGTGAGTTGATATTGTTAATAAAGGCAGTGAGGTGGTACAATGGATACAGCACTGGCCTAGCTTCAAGAAGACTCAAATCTGGCCTCAGACACTTACTAGCTGTATGACCCTGGGCAAGTCACTTAACCCTGTTTGCCTCAATTTCCTCATCTGTAACATGAGCTGGAGAAGGAAATGGCAAACCATTCCAGCATATCTGCCAAGAAACCCTCCAAATGGGGTCACACAGAGTGAGACATGATTGAACAGTTGTGTTCAGTCTGTTAATACTGTTAATATTAATTAACAGTTATTAATAACTGTTAATAACTTGTGTTATTAATCTGTTAGTAACAGATTACTATTAATAATCTTGTATAATTCTTTTGAAAGCGTCTCCCTACCCCCACAGATGGAAATCAGAAACACACCTGTAACTTACAATCTTAGAAAGTTGCCTGTAGGTACTGAAGGGTATGACTTGATCCTGGTCACTCAGTTAGTATGGGTCAGAGGCAGGGCCTGGTCACAGATCCTCTTCTATAATGTGTTGCTAATGTCACTGCTTTCTAAACTAGCATTACTTGTGCCTGTCTTGTTTTCTGGAATGGAGGGTAAGTGTAGAGGATCTAGATCTGAAAGAGCCTCTCTGGTCCTGGCTCTTCATTTTAGAGAGTTTGGTGCCTTGCCCAAAGTTACTCAGATTCTCAGAACCAGAGACAGTTTTTAAAGAGGTCAAGTCTTTATCCAGAACGCAGAGTGTTCTGCCCTGTGCTGTTTGCCCCTCGTGTTTACAGTCTGAAACTGGGTCTGGCCTCTTTCAGCTGCCTGGTCATGACAGGTTTTCATGGTCTAATTTTTTACAGGAAGGTTTTTATGTATGAAAAATAATCCAACAGCTACTAACTGCGACTTTGACTCCAGGTTTCTAACTCATCTAACATTTCTGACATAGGACCTGGGAATTATGAGAGAACAACTGAAAAAAACAGAAAGCAGCAGTGGCCCTGTTCCACTTATGCCTCATCTGAAGAAGTGGCTGGGCTAAAAAAGAGACTCGGCTTCCTTTGCTGTCACAACCATGAAAAAACAAGCAACTTTGGGCCCTGTTTCTCCGACTGTGGCTCAGAGAAGGCCTCGCTGTGGTTATAAGGGAGCAAGAAGACAATACCCATTTGTTCTTGCTCCCCTGAAATCAGGAGAAGGCTAAGACATAAACTGAGATACTAACAGTCTAGACTCCCTGAAGTTATTTGGTACATTGTGAGTCAATCACTGAATGCTGTCAAAATTATGTCACTTCCAATACAGGAAACAGTGGGGCCCGGCAGAAAAAGCAATGGATTTTACTTAGAAAATCTGTGCTTGAGTCCTAGCTTCGTGACATACTAGCGGGGTGGCAGTGGTGAAATCATTTCACCTCTCTGAAACTCAGTCCCCTTACCTCTAGAACTGGGGGGCTGGACTAGATGACCTCTGAGGACCTGTGCAGCTATAATACCCTGGGACGCACCTTTTGTCGGTTCTCAGCTAAAGGCGCCCGTTTGGGATAGGGGCTGGTCATGAAAGGCTGGGGAAGAACAGGAAGAGCCAGAGAAGAGGCGGGGGTGGAGGTGGGGGAGTGGGGAGCAGTCAGCTGTGCTCCCTGGCAGGCCTGCTCATCTCTCTCCTACCGACTTTGGCCAGGGTGCCTCCTACAGAGAACAGGGACCTGCAAGGAGTGGACTGCTTTCATATCCTAACCATTTCCAAAATCTGGTCTGTCTCTCTGTGGCTTCCTATCCCTGTTCCTCCACTAGCTCTCTGACTCTAAGTAGCTTGCTCTTTACTTCTCTATCGTGATCATTCTGTTGCCCCTGCCTAGCGCCAAGTTGGTATAGTATACTGTGCACTGCTGCCTTACAGTTAGCTTGACCCATAAACACACTTGGTCCTGGGAATTTAGCAGAATGGAGAAAACCAAAGTCAAGATGTCTCTGAATCAAATAAAGACTAAAATGCCCTCAAGCTAATTACATTTTAAGCTACATTGTGTATTTTAAGAAATACATATTTCAACATTTCTGTTTTTCTCTCTCTTCCTCTCTGAATCTCTCTCATAAGGGAAAAAGAGTAAATGAGAATAGAAGATTTGGATCAGTCACTGTGATCTATACTTACCTTTTTATTAATAGAATGAAGTAGCAAAGCAGAATCACAATACATCAAAGCAGTTTCTTTTTGTCCAAGATCTTTGTAGCACTGAAAGAAAAGAAATTGAATTAATGTCCTAAAAACACAAAATTTCAAAACTTTCTTAAAATTATTTTTAGTTACCTTTGCCAAATATACATAGTTGTACTTGGAATATCCAGGTTTTAACTCTTCAGCCTAGTTAAAGAATCAAAGCAAAACAAAATAAAACAAGCAAAAAGGGATAAGGAGAAATTGAAATATAAATTATGTGAATGAAACTCATCAATTTCAAATGGCAAAGTACAAATTTTACTAAGATTATATCTTTCTTCAATAAAGGCATATCTTTTTAAACTGATACAATACTATGCCATCTTTAGGAAGAAAATATCATTTGCTTTTGGATCAATTTACAAAAACTGTACTGGTTATTATCTTCATAGGAATTAATTATCATTGCATGTATGGTTTCTGAAATTATACTTTTCCCTTGCAAATAAATATATTTACTTAAACTCAAAATGGCTCAGACAACTGAATTTTAAAAATTCACTTTGCAAGTATGGGATTGAAGAAAAGTGACTCAGTAACAGTTTCCATGAAAAATATATGAGTGTTTTAGTAAAATGTAAACTCAAAAAGGACCAAGAGTGTGATACAGCTGCCAAAAAACAAAACAAAACAAAACAAAAACAAAAAAAACAAACAAAAAAAACAAAACCAGTGTGATTTTAGGCTGCATTAAGAAGACACAACATAAAAAAGAGGGGGAAGGGCGAGTGGTAGCAGGGATGTTAGAGATCTAGGGTGCCATACAACGTCCTAGACGCTACACCATAGGAAAGAAAACCACTGAGCCTGGAATAGGTCCAGAAGAAGGTGACAAGATGGGAGGAAGACTGTAGACCATGCTCAGGAGGATCAGTTGAAGGAATCAGGGATATTTAACCTGAGGAAATGTCTGTGGGGATGGGGGTGGGGGCAGGGAGAGGCAGGGCATGGTAGCTGAACATTCTGCAGGGCTATCATGGGGAAGCCGACTTGTTCTGACACTCTGTGGTTCTGATAAGGGAAAGAAATGGAATGCTAAAAGTTATTGGCATCTTATGTTGGCCACATTTGACATGAGTACCCCTGATCTTTACAGAGTGGTGTTAAGGTCTCCAAAGAGAAGCGATTTACCCCCAAAAGAGGGAGTCCTAAGTTTCATGTTTTAGGTTGGGATGATATTGAGTTAGATCCTTTATATCATCTCCATCATCATCGTCATCATCATCATCATCATCATCTCCTCCTCCTCCCTCTCGCCTCTTCCTCCCTTCTCTACTTCTTCTGCCTCTTTCCTTTCCCCTTCTCCTCTTTCTTCTTCTAGAAGACATTAGAAACCTTTCACATTATAGCACAACTGACCTTTCCAGCATTTTTGCACATTACCACCCTCCTTTCACTCTATTTTCTAACCAAATTGGCCTTCATACTATTCCATATATGTCCCTCCATCTTTCATCTCTTTTCCTATAGATGCCTTCATGCCTGGTGTCCACTCTCTTCTCACTTGACTTAAAACCCCTTGCTTCCTTCAAGATTTAGCTCGAGTGTCACCTTATGGCACGAAGCCTTTCCTGCTACTGCAGCTCCCTCCTCCCCAATGACCTTAGTTTTGTTTTCTATATGTCATATATGTACATACTAGTTCCCTAATAGAATGCAAACTCCTGGTCTGACTAATGATTACATACATTTACAGGCAAAGAGCTTTTAGTATGCAATTTCTAATATCAGAATAAACTTCAATGTTGCATTCAGCTGCACAAGAGTGCAATAAATAAGAACCATTCCTTTAAAATACCCATAATTTGGCAAAGCACTTTATATATAGTACCTACAGATTCTATCCCTTTTGTCTTTATATTTTCAGTGCTTCCTACTAGAGACTGGGTGCTCATTACAACCTGAGTCTCTCTTTCTATAAAATTACTGTAATACTCTGAACAGTATCTATCCATACATAAAATAGTATATGTATGTATACATGCACATATGTGCATACACACGTGTGTATGTGTATATATACACATATATGTGTGTATGTATGTATATATACATATATACATATATATAAATCCCTCTTGAAGTGTCAAAATTGAAGGCTATCAAAAATGCTAGAATTAGAGACTGCCATTCTTACATGTCAATGCTCCAACCTGTCAGAATCTTTTTGGAACCTGAGTACTATCCAATATTCTAATTATCCCTCCCATCTTTATGTTGTCTGCAGATATAATAAGCATGCCATCTATGCCTTTACATGAAAATGTTAAAAAAAGTAAACATATTAAAGATCATGGAATGAAGCATAAATCCCCAATGTATACCATGCAGGCTTCCTTCCGTATTGACAGTGAACTCTTAACAACTGCTTCTTGTTGTTACTGTCATCACCATCATCATCATTATGCAGTAGGGGGATCAGGGCTAACTTCTCAGTGACTTGCTCTAATACGTGTTGTTGAATTGTCTGTTAATTGTCTGTGGTCCAGGTAAGAATTGGTTTAAGAAACTGGGGATGTGGAGAAAAGACTTTGGGTACATGACAGAGCTCCTAAAGCATGTAGAACAGTGATTAGATTTGTTCTCTTTGACCCCAGAGAGTAGAACCAGGACCAATGTGTATAAGTTGTAAAGTGGCAAATTTAAGCCGTCAGGAAAACTGTCACGAAAACCCCCACAAAACCTTACTAACGATACTAGAACTATCCAAAAGAACGCCTGGGGGGGAGGGTAATGGGTTTTCATGCCTTAGAGACCTCCAAGCAAAGACTAGATGGCTATCTTTGAATGACATCGTAGGGATTCCTTTTGGGATTAGGTTAGACGGATCACTGAAATCTTCTTTAACTCTAGAATTCTATGAAAAATAAAGTGTTAGGTTTTTGCCAGAAAATTTAAAAACAAGAATCTCTTTTTCTATGAAAAATTTCATTGCAATTTAAACTTTTTGCCTTGATAGCAGCATTAAAAATATTTAAACCTAGAATGTGTTGCATTTATAATATGTTATTAAAGATATGACATATACTTAGATATTTTCTTCCACAGATCTTCCAAGGTACATAGCTGTCTAGAATGAGTTAAACGTACTTTTTTTTTTTAAGGCAATTGGGGTTAAGTGACTTGCCCAGGGTCACACAGCTAGTAAGTGTCAAGAGTTTGGACTGAGGCTACATTTGAACTCAGGTCCTCCTGACTTCAGGGCCAGTGCTCTATCCACCGCGCTACCTAGCTGCCCCTGAAAGTACTTTTGCAATCATTAAAATAAACTGCATAAAACTGCCAACTCATTTCTCTATGACTACATCTGATTAAGATGCTTATAATATCCTGAATTTATACAGAACTATAGTTAACGTAGCATTTTCATATATAATATTTCATTTAATGCTCACAACAACCCTGTGAAGTGGGCAGTACATGCACTATTATTCTTATCTTACATAGTAAAGAGTCCAAGAGAACCACAGAGGTCATGTGACTAGCCTGCAAATGGCAAAGCCAAGATCAGACCTGAGGTCTCCTAACTCACAGGACACTTTCTATTATACTATGTTGTTGCTATTGTTGTTCAGTCATTTCAGTCATGTCTTATCCTTTGTGATCCATTTGGGGTTTTCTTGGGAAAGATACTGGAGTGGTTTGCCATTTCCTACTCCAGCTCATTTTACAGATGAGCAAGCTGAGGCAAACAGGGTAAAGTGATTTGCCCAGGATCACATAGCTTGTAAGTGTCTGAGGCCAGATTTGAAGTCAGGAAGATCCAGTACTCTATCCACTCAGATTTATCTATCTAATGCTAGAAATCATGACATTGAAGTTTTAAGAGGGATTAGAATTATAGACTGTGGAAATAATAACTGCAAATCATTTCCCCAAATTACTCTTCCTTAATTTTATTCAACCCACAAAATGATCACTGAAACTATCTGGTTTCATCTCTCACCTTCCTTGCTCTTCTCTGCTAACAATAAACATCTGTTAATAAAACACTGCCTGAAGTAACAGCACACAGGGTTCTTGTCAGAAAGAAATTCTAGGTGCTATAAGAGCAGCTATCAAGCATAATACGTGGTCTTTATGTTCAAGGAATGTAGAACCTAGCTGGACCAACAAGTCAAACACACATAAACAATTAGAGAATAAGAAAAATATATAGTTGAGTACAAAATTATGATTCTAACTATAAAAGCTATATAGGAAGGAACTCAAAAGGCAGACAGAAATAATTATAGGCTTAATTGGTTGGAAAAGGCTTCTTGGAGAATGTATGCCTTGATCTGAGCCTTGAAGAATGGCTAAGATTGGGAAAGGTGGAGAGAAAAGGAAGGAGGGCATTCCTGGAGCTTAGCAAACACTGTCAAAATGCTCACTATTCTGATTACAAGTAACTAAAAGTTCTTCAGACAGAATGTCCTTACAATGGAGCTAAGCAATTCGCCTAGCTACCAAAGAGACAGGGATAAGGAATGGATCTGTGATCTCACTGACACAGGGAGCTTCCTGATGAAGAAACTTCCTCAATCAGGGCTGCACCCATGGTTACATAGTTCAGTGTCAGACAGCCAGTAAGCCAGAGATGGGACTTGAACTTGAATCTTCCTGGTATCCAGGCTAGCTTTCTATCCATTATGATATAGTGTCTGCCTCTCAAGTTATCATAACTTGATGGGAATAGATTTTTCTATCATTCTTTTGCTCACCCAAATTTTACCTTTCATTTGAGCTAATGAGTGGAAATATCCATTAAGAGAGAGTGACCTATGTGAAGAACTGTACTAATTTCTGGACAGGTATAAATGTATATATACATATATATATACATATATACACACATATATATATACATATATATATATATACATATATATATATATATCTCACTAGAAACAAAGTTTGCCAGTAATGAAGTGAGGGTAATGGTTAGATAAGGATGGTTGGACAACTAGCTCATGGGCTCCTCTGGGATTCACATCACATCAACAGATCAAGAGAAAGATTCCAACCATACTGGATAAGTCCTATGTGGGGGACTGAGAGAGAGAACAAGGGAGAGCATCCCAAACAATAAGGAGGTGCGCATGTGTTGCGTTGTACCAATGGAAACTGTACTTTCATTGAGGAGATCATAAACCCACAAAATAAATGAAATATAACAAATTGGCCTTCAGGTTTATAAGTTAGTCAAATTTGGTTTCGGTTTGTGTGACTTGATCACCAGAGCCTACTCACTCCTTGGTGAATTGACAAAACTGAATTTCTGAACCTAGAAAGTTCAGTGAAGATCCCAAAAAGGATAAATCTTGGCTTTCCCAGATTTCCTATATTAGCTTCAGCAAAATAATTCAAATTATTTGGGTTAAAGATTTCTTGTCTGTTGATACTATATCATTTTCTCACAAGAGAGTGTCATCTATTACATATCAAAGGTAATTTGAATACTTCAATTTTCCCATGCTATTGGATGTAAGAATTATAACTTCAAGTCATCAATTTTATATGAGCATGTTCTTTAGCTAGCTAGGATACTGTTAAGCTTGTGACACACAGACAATTAAATTTCTTTAAAACAAAAGCAGGTAGCCAGGATTACCTTCAGGAAATTTCTCAAGGCTTCATCTATAGTCGAAGATGGTACCACCCCAAAAAGAGTAGAGGCCATTTTCTTCTCCATCCAATTCAATTTGAAAACCTATAGAAAAACATCCCCTTTGGCTGGTTGTCTTTGACTAAGCAATCTCTTTTTTTAGACCTTACTATGTTGATAGACTTCGAGTTATTTAAAAGGAGTCCTGATAAAATTAATTCTAAAGTAAAATGAATTCCATAAGTGCTATATTTAAAATGATCTTAGAAATTGCCATGGATAGGAAATTTGTATATTCTCTAAGAATTTAAAAAAGGAACTATTCATATTAATTCCCATACTGACTGTGAAGATGATATAATATTTTTAGTCACAGCTACCTATTATTTTTAGTGCAATTCAAGACATTAATTTTTATGTAATAGATATATTTAGTTCTTATCACAGATAATCAATGACCAAAGATTAATGTCCCACAGCATGAAAAACACTTAGAAAATTCATTAGTGAAACTCAGTCATTTGTTTCAACAAATTAATCAATAAACATTAAGAAGCTACTATGTGTTAGGCACTATGCTAAGTACTGAGGATACAAAAAGGAAAGTGAAGCAGTACTTGGCCTCAAAAAAGTATTATATTCTAAGGGAAAAGATGACATAGAAACATAGAAACTGCAACATGTAAACACAGAGATAGGAATACACAAAATATAAACTACAAGAGACCTTAAGTACCCTTACAAGGCAGGCACCAACATTTGAAGGAATCAGGAAAGGCTTTATGCAAAAAGTGGCACTTAAGCTCAGTCCCAAAGGAAATCAGGGATGTGAGAGGTTACTTACTTATTTAGTTAAATATTTCCCAATTACATTTTAATCTGAGCTGGACATGCTTGACATCTCTGGTCACCCCCTTTTCCACATCTACAACACCTAATCCAGATCCTCATCATCTTGCATCTGGACTGTTCCTAACAGTCTCATTGGTACCCCTGCCATCAATCTCTCCTTTCTTCAAACCATCTTCCACACAGCTGCCAAAATCATATCCTAAGGCACACTTATGATCGTGTGACTCTTGTTTCCTGTTGCCCAGAAAATGTGACCGAAACTCCTTGGTTTGATATTTAAGACCATTTAAAAGCTAGCACCAACCTGTCCAGGTGACCATTCATATCTCCCCTCGTAGGTACTTAATGAATGATGATTGATTCACCTCTTTTCCTAGCCAAACTGGACTCCTAGCTGTTTCCTAAATTGAGTGTACTGTCTTCTACTACTGGGATGTTACACAAGCCCTCTTCCATACATGGATTTACCCTTTCCTCATCTCCAGTGCCAAGCAAATATCTAGTATGTGCTAGGCACTTAGTAAATGCTTGTTTCTTTCTTTAGTTGTACCCTCCAAAATCCTTCCAGGCTCAGCTCAGGTGTCATCTCCATAGAGAAATCTTTGGTGTTTCCCCTAGGGATTAGTGCTCTCTCCTTCCCCATCTATGATTGCAGCTACTTAGCTAGAGCTCCCTTTTTTACCACCTTCAGTGCTCTTTCCATACTCTACCTATCTGTGCTCCTGTTGTGCTCCTCCAGGATGGAAGCTCCTTGGAAGGACTACTTACTGTTTTCCATCTCATGGCTGAAGTACAAGGCCATGTGCACACATAGTAGGTGCTCACTGGACATTTGAGCTAAGATAGTTATTCAAAAGGTGCTAAGAGGGGAAGGAGGAAGAACACAAAGACAAATTTCACAGCTGTGACTGAGGTTTACACTAGTTAAATAAATGAATGTAGAATAGCAAATGTGTATCACTGTAACATGATGCTCAGACATCAGTCCAGAGATAAAAGAGACCCACTTACAGAATAGCAGTATCTTCCATTGAGGTAATATAAAAAGGGTTCATCAGGTATAAGTTCTAATGCTCTATCTAGATGTTTCTGAAAGAAAACCAATCAAAAGAAACTATCATTTAAGAAGTTTAAGGCATTTAAATGGCTAAAGAAAATTAGGTAACAATCCTAGAGTAGAAATGTGGTTATGGGAATCAATTTAGGATTAAAATTTTCCATAATTAATCCATAAAATGGAGAATCCAATGTAAAATAAAAGAAAACTGAATCTCCATTAGTTACAAACGGCTCAGTAAATGTCCATAGAAACCTGTGAGACTCGGGAGCGGCCAATGAGTTGTTCCTTGGTTGTCAAGCTGCCAGTGTCAAAATGGGGCCATTTTGGCCATGGCTGGGAAACCTGACTTTGCTTTTCACTCAGCTATTATGTGTTTCATCCCAGCTCAGCCTTCTAGAAATTTGTCTGTCCTACTCTGGATCACTAAGTTAAATTACAAGCAGGTGAGAATTTGGGGTTTTGAATATTCTATATTTTATAACCAGTATTTACCCCCTAAATTGAATGTAGAATTCTTTGGTCATCATATATACGTTCTGATAAAATGAATACGTGTTTTTGAAATGTTGTTTACTAAAAGTAGTAACAAATTAGTTTTGAAACGTTATTATAATGATGTGTTAAGAAAAATGTTCAGAATCATGCAGAAAGGAGAAAAATAATGGAAAGATGGTATGACTACAAAAAATAAATATTTGCAAAACCTAAACATCTGATTTCAAAAGGAATATAAAATAGCAGATGAAAGGATAGCAGATATTCTTCTTGGGGATTTCATTTTCATCAAATAAATGGCATTTATATTCATGTTGGGGGCAGTTATATGGCTCAGTTTTTATAATGTATTTGGTGGTCATGCATTATGAATGTATAAAGCTAAAAGGAAAAGACTAAAGTATCTTCACTGCAACTTGGAGATACATTAAAAATAAAGATTCATAAAATTTTTTTCTACTTATCTGAAAGATTGTTATTAGACTTTACTTACTTTTGACTATATGGTTAATTAATTTGTTATCAGTGGATTTAGTGTCTAATCATTAATTTGTAATATAAGCCATTTATCTGTGGTCTAGTTTCTCTTAACCCAAAATTATGACTCCATACTCATTTTCAATAATCTCATTTTTGTTGACTTAAAGATAGCCATTTAAATTTTCTCATTTTTTTTAAAAAAAACATAAGAAAATACAAATATGAGATCTGATTTTGCTGAATTACTTAATTTTAACAATTTCATTTATATTAAAAAATATAATTCAAAAAAGATACCTTAAAAAGATGGCCATATTTGATTTTATTTTGTAGTCCCCCACACTCGGCTACATGGCCACACAAGCTAGCATACCTAAAAAGATACCACAGTTAAAATAGTGACACCTTAAATTGCTTCAAATTAAACAATAAAAATTACTGATTCAGTCAGTGGTAATCAAAAGTATTCCTACAAATTCAAGAGATATAAAAATGAATAAACATTAAAATTAAAGACTTTCCAACAGGAAGAGTGCAGATAAATAAAACGATACACTTTTCTGACCATTTTATTCTTTTAAATACTCTTCTCATTCTTTTTTGTATCTGTATGGACATATACACATAAAATTATTGTAGAAGGAATATGTTTCTCTGGAATTATATTCTCATTATTAGGCACATACAGGCTATTTTAAATATTATCATATCAGTACACAAATTATTTTGTATCAAACATGTACTACATATAAGAGGGACTTCATAAATATTTGTCGAACTAAATGAATACATATTATACAGTATACATATTCTATACAGAGTAGTCGCAAGGTAGCCCGAGCTGGTAAAGATTTGCAGCTGAGGACCAGGGAAGGCCTCCTGTGGCAGGTGGTGTTTAAACTGAGTCTTGAAGGAAGCTAGAGAAACTAAGACAAGGAGATGAAGAGAAGAATATTCCAAGAATGTGGGGACAGCCTGTGCAAAGGTCTGGAGAGGAGAGAAGGACGAATAGCAAGTGGGCAGGCCAGTGCAGCAGATCATAAAGTGCGCAGGGTAGGAAGGGGTGAAGAGACTGGAAAGGCAGGAAGATTTTTAAAAGCTTTAAATATCAAACAGAGACGTCTCTGTGTGCTTTTGGATCCCACTAGATAGGATACCCCTTGGACTTCACTGAGTAGTGAGGTAAAATGGTGAGATTTATATTTTGGGAAAATCCCTTTGGTGGCTGATGGATTAGAGTGGAGAAAGCCTTGAGGCAGGGAGACCAATTAGGAAACTACTTTCAATAGCTCCAGTGAGAGGTAAGGTGGGGTTGCATAACTGGAGAAAAGGGGACCTTGCAGAGGTAGAAATGACAAGATTGGGTGATGTTCTGGGTATGTGTGGCGAGGCATCGAGGAAGACACGAGGGTTGTGAGCTTGGGTGACTCAAAGGATAGTGGTGCCTGGGACAGTAATACGTAAGTTTGGAAGAAGGGAGGGTTTTGGGGAAAAGCTAATGAGTTCTGTTTTAGACATGCTGAATGTGAGATACCTATGAGACATCTAGTTTGAGATGTCCAAAAGGGAGGTGGTGACGTTGGATTGCAGTTCAGGAAAGAGGCTGGAGATGGATCTGGGAGTCATCCGCACAGACATAATAAGGGAACCCATGGGAACTGACAAGCGCACAAAATTAGTACTAATTTATCACAAAATCATTCATTTGTAAAGGTACTTAACTAACAAATATAGGAATTAAGTAAGGATAAATCATTATTTTCATTTGAAGAAAAAATCCAAAGGTCACAGAAAATAGGCACTGGTCCCAGTCAAAGACATCACTTGTGCATCTAATCTCTATCCTGTCTCTTGAAATATTCCCTCAATCTCTACTCCATGTTTCCTTCCCAGTTCTCAAAAATGGAGATTAAGCGAATCTTCATGTTTTGCTCCAAATAAGTTCCCTTTTCTTATTTTCTTATCTCTGATAGTGGTACTAGACTCTTCTAATTACTCCAGCTCAAAACCCTGAAGCCATCTCTTGTCTCTCCATCTTTCTTACTGATTCCACACATACCGAGGAACAAGGTTGTACTGTGAGCTAGCCGGGCACTTTCTCAAAGAAGTACCTTGTTGGGTAGGATGGGAAGAGTACATGGAATCACAGATCTACCCTTCTCAGTACTATCTATCTCACATAATCACACTCTAGACCTTGTTTTTGAACCTTAAACTTTAGCTTCCTGACCACCATACACATATACATATGATCTAGGCCTTAGTGGACTCAGGGACCTCAAGGAACTTAACACATTTCACCATGATCCAGTGTGAATAAATTCTCATCCAGGCAAATCCCACTCCAATTGTGGCGAAAGCTATTTTGAGGCTATATCTGGAATCCATAATTACTACTTATTAAAACCAAGTCCCTCTGGTACATGTTAAAGCCTGGGATCTCAGTTACTCCCTACCTTTTCTGGTGGTTTTTGAGTTACTGTGATATATATGTGTATACACACACACACACACACACACACACACACACACACATATATGTATATATTTTCCATAAGCAAGAAGTAACCCTACCAGATGTATTTCAAGCCCTGGGAGGCATGAATCCTTTCATTATCCTTATCTTCCTTCCCTCAACTGGTCTTATGGACTTATTAATGACAGGATCCTCTGGCTCTAGTTTCTGGTGTGATGGCTCTACTGCGTATCTGGGCTGAAAATCAAGGCCACTCAGGAGTTCCTTAAGTTAACTTAGAGACAGGGTTTCATTTACCTTTTGATGTCTCTGGCTAGATTTCTGTATTCTTCGTGAGGAAGAATGAAAAGCTCCTGCTCTGACAAGATTATTGGGCCCTTGAAACCACGACCATTTATAACCAGTATACTTTTCCTCTACTCCTTAATCTATACTTAATTGGCTTTCTAGAGGATAACCAACTTAATGATATCCAAAGAAGAAGATGAATGGAATATCTTATTTTATACCAGACATTCACTCTGAATACATACCAATGCTCTTCAGCCTGTGCAATGCCCTTACCATATGACAACGGTTCATGACTGCTATGTCCTCAGACTTATGGAGTAATTATTTTTTAAAATATTTCAGCAGATTCATAATCTCATGGAATCTCAGAATGTTAGCACTGGATCAAACCTTAGATGTCATCTGGTTTAAGTTTTTTTTTGTTTTTTAGAGGAAACTGATACCCAGTGGTGAAAGAGATTTAATCAAGGTCACATAGCTCAGACTTGAATCTAGCACTTCTTACCAAATAAAATAATATATGTGAAGCACTTTCTTGTTGGGTCAGGAGTGGGGGAAAGAAGAGAAAAACAAGGTGGGGGGAGTGAGGGGAGGGAAAGGGAGAGAGAGATATGGAAAAAGAAGGAAGAAGGAAAGAAGGAAGACAGAGAGGGGGTAGAGAAAGAGGAAGGAGAAAGAGAGGGAGGGAGAGAGAGAACACTTAAATATGAGACGGAAGTTAAGTCTAGGGCTATTTGCCCCAGGTTTCTTCTCAGTGGTGTTGTCCATCTATTTAGAGCAAACACTACTTCAGAAAGTTTTTTTTTTAATTGTCTTTTTTTTAATATGGAGACAAAACTCATTTTAAATAAATAGGCAAGATTTAAAGGAAGGAGGAAACTCTTGAGAATAAGTTATACCAATATGCCCAGCACTGATGAGGAAGAGGAGGGGAAAGAAGTATAGAAGAAACAAGTTCACCAGGTTCTAGTGCGGCAACAAATTCTGTCCAGGCAAATCACTCCTTAAGCTAGTCAGTAAGTCAGATAAGGCTCTGAGTGCTAACGATCATATTCAGTTTGGGGTGGTAGAGCCCTTTCCTTGCAATCAGCTAGCTGCTGACCCGGTACTCATACGTACTACAAGTCTCCAAAATTGCCATTGTCTCCTATCCCATAATCATTCAACTCGGAAAAATTACATTTCTCATCATTAACAATACCCCTTGCTGATAAGGCACTACACTTATAAAGTGCTTTGCAAAGCTTAAAGCATTAAGTAACTGCCAACTATTATTGTTATAATTACTATTATTACTCACATATTATTAATGCCTATTAATAATGTAATTATTATTAATTTCAAGTCTATCACTCTTTCCATTAAACCATTCATTTTTAACTACATGAATATGCCTTCTAATAATATAGATTAATAAGGCAGATTACCCACTCATCTACACTACCTAATCCTACATTATTTGTGTCAATGTCTTTCTATGCATCCTCATAGAGGAGTTTCCTAACACAATGGATTATATCACAGTTTATAGTATGCATGATATAACATAAATATCATAATGTTATATGTAAAAACATGTAATATATAGTTTATATTATAAGTATATAACATATTTATATCACAGTTTATATATTTGTGCATATGTACATAAATACATATACATACGTATCACATATTAAGCACAGCAATTGCTTACTCCCCTTCAACTTTCAATTTTATGTAGCTTTCATATGACAAGAACCAAGACTACATGAAAAGCTGCCCTAAGGAAGAGAGATTAGATTTATTTATGGAAGAAGGATCAATGAGAGGCAGATTTTTATATAATATAAGGAAAAAACTTCTAAATTATCAGATCTCTCCAAAAAAGGAACAGATTGCATTGTGATATACTGACCATCCTATCATTAGAAGAATTCAGGGCCTGGATTATCACCCGTGAGGGATGCTGGGGAGGGGACTCCAATTAAGTAAGAAGTTGGACTGGATGATTTTGGAGAACCTTCCCAACTTTGAAATTCAAGGATTCTATGGATATTTTTATCATTGGTAGTATGCCTTTGTTTACATTGTTGGTGTGTACAAACTGCTGAGATGGACCATGAAGAACAAAGTTTTACATGTAAACTCTATCATCATTTGAGAATTAATCACATCAGGAACTCCTACCCTACAGTCTTGTACCCCCATCTAGTGGTCAATTCAGAATCAGAAATAATGATGGTGTACGGAAATAGTACTGAGTTCTCTTATCTTTGAATTCAATGTGAATAGTCTTGAAGTAAATGACAAACACTTAAATCTTTAAGTTTTATATCAATGCTCATTATTATTACAGAAAAAAATCATTCTTTTCATCTTGTCTGGTGCGACTTCAGATAAAAACAGTCCTGGGTCAAGTCATTATCCTTCTATTTTCCTTTTTCATTCAAAGTTCTGGGGAATGCTGAGATAAAACAACTATTTTTCATAGATGAATAAAAGTATTAGGATATGAGTTCATATATGAAACCTCACTAAGAGCTTCCTCATTATAACTCTTGTAGCAGGATGACAGGGATGTTACACACCTCATCTTGCTTCCACTTTGATTACTACAGGGAGCT